TTTTTTTTTTTTTTGACAGAGTCTTGCTCTGTCACTCAGGCTAGACTACAGTGGCATAATCTCAGCACATTGCAACCTCTGCCTCTCGGGTTCAAGCGATTCTCCTGCCTCAGCCTCCTGAGTAGCTGGGATTACAGGCGCCCATCACCACACCAAGCTAATTTTTGTATTTTTAGTAGAGATGAGGTTTCACCATGTTGGCCAGGCTGGTCTCGAACTCCTGACCTGGTGATCCACCCTCCTCGGCCTCCCAAAGTGCTAGGATTACAGGCGTGAACCACCGTGTCCGGTCTAACTTTTATATTTTTAGTAGAAATGGGGTTTCACCATGTTGGCCAGGCTGGTCTCAAACTCCTGACCTCAACTGATCCACCCTCTTTGGCTTCCCAAAGGGCTGGGATTACTGGCGTAAGCCACCGTGCCTAGCCTAAAAGCTAATTTTTTAAAAAAAAGATACGCCGGGCGCGGTGGCTCAAGCCTGTAATCCCAGCACTTTGGGAGGCCGAGACGGGCGGATCACGAGGTCAGGAGATCGAGACCATCCTGGCTAACACGGTGAAACCCCGTCTCTACTGAAAAATACAAAAAAACTAGCCGGGCGAGGTGGCGGGCGCCTGTAGTCCCAGCTACTTGGGAGGCTGAGGCAGGAGAATGGCGTGAACCCGGGAGGCGGAGCTTGCAGTGAGCCGGGATCACGCCACTGCACTCCAGCCTGGGCGACAGAGCGAGACTCCGTCTCAAAAAAAAATAAAAAAAAAATAAAAAAAAAATAAAAAAAAGATACGCAGGTGATGTGTCCAGACTTTTTTCAAGCTTTCAAAGGCACTGCAGGTTTTTGAGCAACACAGTAAGGATATGGAAGGATGGTTCAGCGTTGATTTATTTCACTACTGCATCATCTTTCTTTTTTTTTTTTTTTTTTTTTTTTTTTTTGAGACGGAGTCTCGCTCTGTCGCCCAGGTTGGAGTGCAGTGGCCGGATCTCAGCTCACTGCAAGCTCCGCCTCCCGGGTTTATGCCATTCTCCTGCCTCAGCCTCCCGAGTAGCTGGGACTACATTAGCTGGGACTACAGGCGCCCGCTACCTCGCCCGGCTAGTTTTTTGTATTTTTTAGTAGAGACGGGGTTTCATCGTGTTAGCCAGGATGGTCTTGATCTCCTGACCTCGTGATCCGCCCGTCTCAGCCTCCCAAAGTGCTGGGATTACAGGCTTGAGCCACCGCGCCCGGCTACTGCATCATCTTTCTAGGCAGTGTCATCATTCATCCACTTTCTTATTTAGTCTTTCTGTTTTCACATGCTTGGGCATAATTGACAAATAATGATGAAATAACTCTCAGGATGATGAGACAGAAAAATGTTCCCAGGAAACTTATTCTTACACATGATTCTTACTGGAATAAATAAGATTACTGTCTCATAGTAGATTGTAGTTTTATAAAAAGGTGTAGTACAGCTCTAATTGTAAAATTGAATGAAATTTAGTGTATTTTGAAAATAAGTAAATTTTCTCTTTGTTCTTTTGAAGGCCTTTAAGAAAGACTAAAAGTCATGAAATACTAATTCTTAGAAATAGAACTGCTTGAAAAAGAAACTCAAAAACTAAAAATTGATCCCGTGAGCCCTGAGAGAATATTGAAGGTTAAGACAGGTTCAGGGAGGTATGCTGGTCTCAGTTTTCTTTAGTGATAGGGAATTTCATTTTTTCAGAGATAGGGAATTTCATTGATTTCTGTTCTCAATGTCCCCCATCTCCTTTTTGGTCATGCTTCAGCCTTGTCTGTAAAATAGGCTATTATCTTCTTGGGACCATGATTATCCAAATATACACAACTATGTCATTTCAACCTCCAAAAGTTTTTTTTCTATTCTTTTATTTAGAGTATCATTTGGAGTTGAACATGATGGCGCACACCTGTAATCCCAGCTCTTTGGGAGGCCGAGACAGGCAGATCACCTGAGGTCAGGAGTTTGACACCAGCCTGGCCAACATGGTGAAATGTCTCTACTAAAAATACAAAACTTAGCTGGGCATGGTGGTGCATGCCTGTAATCCCAGCTGCTCGAGAGGCTGAGGCAGGAGAATCACTTGAACCAGGGAGGTGGAGGTTGCAGTAAGCTGAGATAGCCACACCGCACTCCAGCCTGGGTGACAGAGCGAGACTCTATCTTAAAAAAACAAACAAACAGGCCAAGCGCTGTGGCTCACGCCTGTAATCTCAGCACTTTGAGAGGCCAAGGCGGACGGATCACGAGGTCACGAGATCAAGACCATCCTGGCCAACATGGGGAAACCCCGTCTCTACTAAAAATACAAAAAACTAGCCAGGCGTGGTGGCAGAAGCCTGTAGTCCCAGCTACTCGGGAGGCTGAGGCAGGAGAATGGCGTGAATCCGGGAAGTGGAGCTTGCAATGAGCTGAGATCATGCCACTGCACTCCAGCCTGGGCGACAGAGCAAGACTCCGTCTCAAAAAAAAAAAATTGAGTATCATTTGGATCATTTGATGAGAAAATGGTTGCACAATAGCATTTATGACTCTAGGCATTTGAACCCTAGAGTATAGACAAATCCTAAGAGAATGGTTACGGTCAGAATTTATAGTTCACTTCTAAGCCAGGATCAAAGACCCAAATGCAACCACATGGACAGATCCCATCCCTAAGCCAAAGAGCCTACAGAACCAGATATAGAAGAATTATCCCAATTATCTAATTTCGTGATTTCTTATTTCTTTCCTAAATCATTTTAGAGTTTTTAAAGATTTCAGAGGTCTTTAAAGATGCGAGTACAACATTCTTCTCATAAGAATAACGTTTCTTGCTTGGAAGGCAAGGTACTTTTTCTAAACAATGTATTTTGAACCAGTTGCCTATCCAGTTTCATGGACATGAATTTGTGTCTTTGTGACATTGTCCAGATCTGTTATCTGGATTACAGTGCGAATATGGTTCTCCCCATTTTGAGGGTCCTTTTGTGTAGCCTGACATTAAAAGGCTCAGAGGTAGAAGAAAACAGTCCAAAGTTCTCTTTCAGTGGTGACTGAAGTTTTGTTTTGTTTTGTTTTGTTTTTGAGATGGAGTCTCACTCTGTTGCCCAGGCTGGAGTGCAATGGCATGATCTCGGCTCACTGCAGCCTCCACCTCCTGGGTTTAAGTGATTCTTCTGCCTCAGCCTCCCGAGTAGCTGGGATTACAAGTTCCTGCCACCATGCCCAGCTAATTTTTGTATTTTTAGTATAGACAGGGTTTCGCCATGTTGGCCAGGCTGGTCTTGAACTCCTGACCTCATGATCTGCCCGCCAGTTTCCCAAAGTGCTGGGATTGCAGGTGTAAGCCACTGCACACAGCCTGACTGAAGTTTTTTGACACAAACTAAGGTCCAGTTTCTCTCCTCTTTGAATTAGGTTATCTAAAGGTTTCTTTTTCTGACAAGGGGGATGAATGGGCCACAGTGATCCTAGGAGATAACAGGAACCATCCTAAAGGCAGGTATTGAGTTCAGTGAGATAACATCTAATCCAATTTTGCAGTTGGTTTTTGTGTACAAACCCAGTGCTTTAGTGGCCACCCTGGTGATCTCGTCCTATGGGCTTATCAAATAATATGGTAACATTTTAAAAGGTGGTAAACAGTTTTGTCTGAATATATCAAAGGAGGCAATGTGTATCTTATCAGGAGACATCTAACGTCTGGCTGTGCTCCTCATTAAAAGACTGTCTACTAGATTACAGTGATAATGGTCCAAGCCTACATTATTGAGTTACATGTCTCTCCTTGTGACTAAACAATAATCTGTGTGATCTTACTTTATTCTCAAGGAGTATGCATTTCTTCAGTTTAGCAATATGTCTTGTCATGGTTTTAACAACAAATGATAATTGTCATTGGAATTATAAAATATCATTCTTTGTATGGAGATATTTTATTACTATTATTTCTTTTGTATAGGAGGCTGGACTCAGTGGCTCATGCCTGTAATCCCAGGACTTTGGGAGGTGAGGTGGGAGGATGACTTGAGCCTAGGGGTTGGAGACCAGCCTGGGCAATGTGACGAGACCCCATCTCTATAAAAATTACAAAAACATTAGCTGGGCGTGGCGGCACATACCTGTAGTCCCAGCTACCCAGGAGGCTGAGGTAGGAGGGAATCACCTGAGCCTGGGAGTTTGAGGCTGCATTGAGCTGTGGTTGTGCCACTGCACTCCAGCCTGGGCAAGAGTGAGATCCTGTCTCAAAAAAGAAAAAAAGAAAAAGAAAACCAGTAGGAAACCAAGGAATGAAGTGCTGGAAAATAAAGACATGGACATCCTTAGACCAAGTTAGCAGTTTACCATATTCCTGATAAAGTGACATTTTATTTTAAACACGGATAGGATAAGAAAGCTCCAGTCTACAAACAAAACATGCCAGAAGATTTTTAGGCAATGATGCCACCTGCACATGGAACCAAAAGGTGAGAAAATTTGTAAGAACGTCAAGGTGCTAAAAGGGGGAAATTAGGTCAGTATGGGACAGAGGGAGCTGTGTCTTGATATGAGGCGTGAGAGGTGAACAGGGACCATATTATTTGTGGAAAGATACATGGATTTTAATGTAAGTGCCACAAGAAACCCCCAGAAGGAACAATAAAATATGGATTATAAAAATTTCATCTGCATCAGAAACATTTGTTAGAAAGGTTGACAGTATTGATGCCCAGGAACTTCCCCTATATCTGATTCAGAGGGCCTGGATGCTGCTTGAACATCCATTTTTTAACAGGCTCTTCAAAGATTTTTATGCACACCTAAATAAAAACTGTGTCACTAATCACCAACCTCACTATTTTACATAAACACTTGTTAATCTCTATATTCCTTCTGTTTTTTGAATTTCATAATGGTATTTTAATATTACTGAGCTATTTATTTCTAGTTAGTGTTATTTTCAGTTTTTCTCTTTTCTTCCCTAGAATTTTTTTCATATAGAACAATAAGATATTTTAAAAATTTTTCTTTCAGATTTGCAGTTGGAAGATGATACAATTGGCCGTAAAGAAATGCTCCCCTCTGAAAACTGTCCATCTTTTGCCCCACATCAGAAAATTAGTAGACAGAAACCACATGAATGTCGGGAATATGGAAAGACTCTTTGGCAAGACTCAAAGCCTGTTCAACATGAAAGAATACATAGTAATGAAAAACCCAACAGATGTAAAGAATGTGGGAAGAATTTTAGTAATGGACATCAACTCACCATACATCAGAGATTGCATGTTGATGAGAAACCCTACAAATGTGAGAAATGTGGGAAGGCCTTTATCAGAGGTTCAGCCTTTGTTAAGCATAGGAGAATTCACACTGATGAGAAGTCACTCAAATGTAAGCGATGTGAAAAGACTTTTAGCGGTAACTATCAACTTACAGTACATGCGAGTATTCATACTGGGAAGAAACCATATGAGTGTGGGGAATGTGGGAAAGCTTTTCTAGCATATGGAAAGCTTACCCGGCATCAGAGTATTCACACTGGTGAAAAACCCTTTGTGTGTGAGGAGTGTGGGAAGGCCTTCAGTACCTTTTCATACCTGATTCAACATCAGTGAATTCATACTGGTGAAAAACCCTATGAATGCAAAGAATGTGGGAAGGCCTTTAGTACTAGCTCACCCCTTGCTAAGCATCAGAGAATTCATACTGGCGAGAAACCCTATGAATGTAAGGAGTGTGGGAAGGCTTTCACTGTGTATGGACAGCTTACTCGACATCAGAGTATTCATACTGGTGAGAAGCCTTTTGAATGTAAGGAATGTGGAAAGGCCTTTAGACTTAGTTCCTTCCTTCATGCACATCAGCGAATTCACGCAGGGATAAAGCCCTACAGATGCAAGGAATGTGGGAAGACCTTCAGTCGTGCCTCGTATCTTGTTCAACATGGAAGACTTCACACTGGTGAGAGGCCCTATGAATGTAAGGAGTGTGGCAAGGCCTTTAGTACTGGCTCATACCTTGTTCAGCATCAGAGGATTCATACTGGGGAGAAACCCTATGAATGTAAGGAATGTGGCAAAGCCTTTATTAGTCGCCATCAGCTTACTGTACATCAAAGGGTTCATACTGGAGAGAAACCCTATGAGTGTAAGGAATGTGGCAAGGCCTTCAGAGTGCACGTACATCTCACACAGCATCGGAAAATTCATACTGATGTAAAGCCCTACGAATGTAAGGAATGTGGAAAGACTTTTAGTCGAGCTTCGTACCTTGTACAACATGGCAGAATCCATACTGGTAAGAAGCCCTATGAGTGTAAGGAGTGTGGCAAGGCCTTCAGTTCTGGCTCATACCTTGTTCAGCATCAAAGAATTCATACTGGGGAGAAACCCTATGAATGTAACAAATGTGGGAAAGCCTTTACCGTTTATGGACAACTTATTGGACATCAGAGTGTTCACACTGGTGAGAAACCTTTTGAATGTAAGGAATGTGGGAAGGCCTTTAGACTTAATTCATTCCTTACCGAACATCAGCGAGTACACACTGGTGAGAAACCCTTTAAATGTAAAATATGTGGGAAGACCTTTAGATACAGTTCAGCCCTTAAAGTGCATCTGAGAAAGCATACGGGTGTTATACCCTAAGAGTTTGAGGAATGTGGGAAGTGCTTCGTGTATGGCTCAAACATTGTTGAACATCAGGGAATTTATGCTGGTAGGAAACTTTCAAATGTGAAGAATATTGGCAGGCGTATTCTCATCTTATAATTCATAATATAATTCAGAAAACATAAGAATCTTCATTTAATTTTTAATCTTTAATTTACCATTAAAAGACTTTAAGGCCAGGTGCGGTGGCTCACGCCTATAATCCCAGCACTTTGGGAGGCTGAGGCGGGTGGATCACCTGAGGTAGGAAGTTTGAGACCAATATGGAGAAATGCCATCTCTACTAAAAATACAAAATTAGCCCGGTGTGGTGGTGCATGCCTGTAATCCCAGCTACTCAGGAGGCTGAGGCAGGAGAATCACTTGAACCTGGGAGGCGGAGGTTGCGGTGAGCCGAGACCATGCCATTGCATTCCAGCCTGGGCAAAAAAACTAAAACCCCCTCCAAAAAAAAAAAAAAAAAAAAAAAAAAAAGACTTTAAAACAAGGTAAAATGTGATTGTAGCAGGTAAACTCTAAAAAGAACCCCAAATCTCTACTTCCTGGAATTCTTACCCTTGGGTACCCCTCGCACATTTTACAAGGGTTGATCTGTAAAGCCCATATAAAACAGAAAAAGTGAGGACATATAACTTCCAATTTTAGGTTATCAAGGACACTGGTCTCCTTCTTGGATAGACTCTCCTGCTCTTGGATCACTTTCTATGTTTGAAAGAATCCATGTGATGAGCATCCCTATGGAGAGACCCATGTGGCAAGGAACTAAAGCTTCCTGTCAACTGCCATAGAAAAGAGATTAGAATTGAATCTTCCAGCCTCTAGCAAGTCTCCCGAGACTGTAGCTCCAGAGACAGCTTAACTGCAATTTCATGGGGGATTCTCAACCCAGACCTACCTAAGCTGCCCCCGGATTAATGTAATAATCTAAAATATGTAAACAAATGTAGAGTGACAGAAAGCAGATCAGTGGTTTCCTAAAGATGGGTAGGTGGGTAAGGAGGAAGAGATTACAGAGGGCCCAAGAAAACCTTAATTTCGTGGCTATAAACATGTACCAAAACTTGTACATGTTAAATATGTGTAGTTTAAACTTCAATAAAGCTGTTTTTCTAAAAAAAAAAAAAAAAAAAAAAAAAAACTTTAAAAATCCTCATTTCCTAATTATTTTACTATTTTCTATGCTTTAGAGGTTATTTACATTTATTGCATCTATTCAGTGGAAACAGAATACAATGGTGTGCTATTGCACATGTCTTCCCAACTCCATATTCAGAGACATTGTGTTGTAGCTTGAAATTGGCCAAGACAGAAGTATTTACACCTAGGGTATTGGTAAACACTACAAACCAGAACTTGATCTGTTGTTTTATTGGCCATATAGACTTAAAAAAGTAGAGAATATCTTAATCATTCAGATTAAACTTAAAAGTGTTTCATGTCTCTAGTTTTCCATTGTGAACAGCACAAAATTTTGAGGAAATATTCTTCCAGTATTCAAAATTACCCTATAAAACAAATAAGTCACTGCAGTTACTTATCGATGAATAACTGCAGTTCCAAAAAATGTCTTTACTAGTTCAATATCAACTAATATTTACTTTTAAAATAGGCAAGAGATATGAGTAGACATTTTACCATAGAAGTTATATGGGTGGCAAATAAAAACATGATTTAAAATATGCTCAAAATCATAAACCCTCAGAGAAATGCAAGTTAAAACTACAATGAGATATTATTACTCCATCCCTAGTAGCATTATGAACATTAAAAACACAGATCATAGCAATTGTTGGTGATTATGTGACAAAACTGGAACTCTTGCTCACAATCAGGGATGCAATTTCATGGGGGATTATACCATTTATGCCAATAAATCTGGTAAATAAAATGAACAAACTCTCTTTGAAGACACAAACCACTAAAGTTCACTTAAGAAAAATAAATATATATCCCTATATTTTTTTAAATTTTTATTTTAATATTTAATATTTTAATAAATTTTAAATAAATATACATCCCTATATTTATTTTAAATTTTACATCCCAGGGGATGTAAAATGGCATAATAATTTTAGAACACAATTTGGCAGTTTCCTAAAATGTAAACTATTCACCTACCCTGCAACAAAGGCATCGCACTTTTAGATAATAACACAAGAGAAGAGAAAGAATATTTCCACACAAAGACCTATACACTAATGGTTACAGTAGCTCAATTTGTAACAGACAAAAACCCACATGCAACTAATAGAAGAAAAGGTGGGAGTGCCAGAGGAAAGAGAGAAACAAGGAGGAAGAGGGACTATTTTTAAGAAATGGCCAAAACTACCCAAATTTGATGAAAGACTTTTTTTTTTGTACCCGCACTACACAGATGTAAAAAGACATAAACACCCAAGAAGCTCAATGAGCTCCAAGGATGAATTCAAAGAGACTCATGCTGAGACACATTATAATCAAATTGTCAACACAGAGACATAAAGAAAATACTGAAAGCAGCAAAAAAGAAGTGACTCACTACATTCAAGGGATACTCACTAAGATTATCAGATTTCTTATCAGAAACCTTAGAGGGAAGAAGGCAGAAGGCAGTGGGCTGACATGTTCAAAGTGCTAAAAGAAAAGAACTGACAGCCAAGACTCCTAAATCTGACAAACCTATCCACCAAAACTGAGGGAGAAGTGAAGACATTCCCAATTGAGGGAATGTGTTACCAAGAGAACTGCTCTGCAAGAAATGCTAAAGGGAGTCCTTTCAGTTGAAATGAAAGGACACTAGACAATAACTCAGTGCCATGAGAAGAAATAAGGATCTCTAGTAAAGGCAAATACCTGGGAAAATTTTTAAGTTCATATTATTGTAACTTTGGTTTGTACTCCACTTTTTGTTTTTTACATGATTTAAGAGATGAATGCATTAAAAAATTATTAATCTATGTTTTTGGACACACAATGTATAAAGAGGTAATTTTATGACATTACTATCTAAAAGTGTTGGGGATGGAGTTGTATAAGATCAGAGTTTTTCTGTGTTATTAATGGTAAGCTGGTAAAAGTTCAAATCAGAGTATTACAAATCTAGGATGTGAAATGTAATCTCTGTGGTAACCAAAAAGAAAATCGTTATGGAATATACACAAAATGAAAGGACAATGAAATTAAAATGTTTCACATTTGAAAAATCAAACACACAAAATAGAGAGTAATATAGGAAATAAGGGACAAAAAAGCTAAAATCACGTAGAAAATAAATAGCAAAATGACTGAAGTAAGTCCCTCCTTATCAGTAATTACTTTAAATATAACTGGATTAAATCCTCAGAGCAAAACACAGTAACTGGCAGAATGGGTTAAAAAACAAACAAATAACAACAACAAAAAACACCCATGATCCAACTATATGCTGTCTACTAAGTTTCACTTTAGATCCAAAGACACAAATAGATTGAAAGTAAGAGAATGGAAAAAGATATTCCATGCAAATAGTAACCAAAATAAAGCAGGGATGGACATACTGGTACCAAACAAAATGGACCTTAAATCAAAATGAGGTTCCATAAGACAGAGACATTACATATTAAGATTCAAGACAGCAAGGACATATAACAATTATAAGCATTTATATACCTAATAACAGACCATCAAAATATACAAAGCAAAAATGGACAAAGTTAACAGAAGAAATAGACAGTTCTACAACAATAGAGACTTCAATGACCCACTCTCAATAATAAAACAATCAGAAGGCCAATAAGGAAACAGAGGACTTGAACCAAGACTGAATCATGAAAAACTAAAAGGCTGAGTACCATGGCTCATGCCAGTGATCCTAGCACTTTGGGAGACCAAAGCAAGAGGATGCTTAAGCCTAGGAGTTTGAGACTGGCCTGGGCAACACAGAGAGACCCTGTCTCTATAAAAATAAAAATTAGCTGGATATGATGTTGCATGCCTGTAGTCCCAGCTACTCAGGAAGCTGAAGTGGGAGGATCGTTGAGCCCAGCAGGTTGAGGCTGCAGTGAGCCATGATCATGCCACTGCACTCCAGCCTGGGTGACAAAGTGAGACTCTTTCTCACACTCTCAATGATGAAGAAGAGGAAGAGGAAGGAGAGGAAGAGGAAGAAGAATAAGAAGAAAAGGAAGAAGAAAAAGAAAAGAAAAAAGAAAAATTTGAATAGGCCTATCAACAGTAAAGATAGAGAATCAAAAACCTCCCAACAAGAAAAACACAAAAGCCCTGACCTGACAGCTTATCTGGTGAATACTACTTTACACTTAAAGAACTAACACCAATCCTTCTTGAAATTTTCCACAAAACTGAAGGAGAGAACACTTGCTAACTCATTTTATGAAGCCAGAATTGCCCTGATGCCAAAGCCAGACAAACATAAGAAAACTACAGACCAATACCCTGTATGAACATTAATGCCAAAATCCTCAATCAAATATTAGCAAGCCAAATTAAGCAGCATGTTAAAAGGATTATACACCATGCCCAAGTGGGATTTATTTCTAGAAAGCAAGGATGGTTCAATGCATGAAAAACAATCAATACACTATTCCATATTAACAGAATAAAGGAAAAAAACCAGTCATCTCTTTTGATGCAGAAAAAGCATTTGATAAAACTTCAATACAATTTCATGTAAAAAGAAAACCCAAAAAAATGAAATAAAAGGAAACTATGTCAACGTAATGAAAGCCAGATATTAAAAACCCATAGCTAACATCATTCTCAATGGTGAAAAACCAAAAGCTTTCTGATCAGGAACAAGGCAAAGATGTCCTCTTTCTCTATTTCTGTTCAACATGGTACTGTAAGTCCGAGCCAGAGTAATTAGGGAAGAAAAGAAGTAAAAGGCAGCCAAATTGGAATGGAAGAAGTAAAATTATTTCTGATCACAGGTGATATTACATGTAGATAATTCTAAAGTTTTCACACACACACACAGACTGTCAAAATTAATAAATGAATTCAGCAAACTAGCAGGATAAAAAAATCAACACAGAAAAATGACTTACATTTCCATACACTAACAATGAACAACCCAAAAAGGAAATCATGAAAACAGTTCCATTTACATTAGCATCAAAAGTAATAGAATGCTTAGGAATTAACCAAGGAGGTGAAAACTTGTACAATGAAAAGTACAAATCACTCGTGAAAGAAAACAAAGACATAAATAAATGGAATGAAATTCCATATTCACAGATTGGGTAACTTAATATTATTAAGATGTCAATACTACCCAAAGTGATCTATAGATTTAATGGAATCCCTACTAAAATCCCAATAATATCTTGTGCAGAAATATAAAGATCCATTCTAAAATTAATATGGAATCTCCAGGGACTCTGCACAGCCAAAAGAATATTGAAAAAGAACAAAGTTGAAGGTCTCACACTTCCTAATTTTAAAACTTACTACAAAGCTACAGTAATCAAAACAGCATGAAACTGGTATAAGGACAGACATACACACCAATAGAATAAAATGGAGCCCAGAAGTAAACCCTCACATATATGCTCAAATGATTTTTGACAGGGGTGCCAAGACCAACCAATGGGGAAAAGACAGTCTTTTGAACAAATGGTGTTAGGAAAATGAGATATCCACATGCAAAACAATGAATCTGGACCCTTACCTAACACCATATACAAAAATTAACTCCAAAAAGTGACTCAAAATGAATCAAAGACCTAGATGTAAGAGCTAAAACTCTTAGAGACATAGGTGGCAATGGTTCCTTAGATACGACACCAAAGGCAAAGACACCAAAAGAAAACATAGACAAACTGAACCTGGAAAATTTAAAATTTTCTAATCAGACACTATGAACAGAGTAAAAAGGTCCACAGAATGGGAGAAAATATCTGATAAGAGATTAGTACTCAGAATATACAGAAAAGTTGTAAAACTCAACAACAAAACAACCCAGTTCAAAAATGGAGATAAGGAGGGGTGAGTGGAAAAAAAAAACAAAAACAAAAAACAGAGAAAATACTTGAATAGAAATTTCTCCAAAAATATACAAATGGCCAGTAAGCACATGAAATGATACTTAAAGTCACAAATCATTAGGGAAAGCGTATCAAATGAGACACTACTTCACACCCATTAGAATGGCTATCACCAAAAACAAAAAAAAACATGTGCTGGCGAGGATGTAGAAAAAAAATTTTTTTTTTTTTTTTGAGAGGGAATCTCGCTCTGCTGCCCAGGCTGGAGTGCAGTGGCATGATCTCGGCTCACTGCAAGCTCTGCCTCCTGTGTTCACACCATTCTCCTGCCTCAGCCTCCCAAGTAGCTGGGACTACAGGTGCCCACCACCACATCCAGCTAATTTTTTGTATTTTTAGTAGAGACAGGGTTTCACTGTGTTAGCCGGGATGATCTCGATCTCCTGACCTCATGATCCACCCACCTCGGCCTCCCAAAGTGCTCGGATTACAAGCGTGAACCACTGCGCCTGGCCCTGAAAAATTTAAAACTTTGTTTACCGTTGGTAAGAATGTGAAAGGATGCAGCTTTGTGGAAAACAGTGTATGGCAGGTCTTCAAAAAACTAAAAATAGATTTACTATATCATCTAGTAATTCTACTTCTGAGGACATAGCCAAAAGAGTTGAAAGCAGGGTCTTGAAGAGATATTTGTGCACTCATGTTTGAAGCAGCATTATTCGCCATAGGTGAAAGGTGGAGGCAACCCAAGCATCCATTGACACATGATTGATAAGCAAAATGCAGCATATACAAGGAAATACTAATCAGCCTTAAAAAGGAAATTCTAACATATGCTCCAACATTGATGAACCTTGAGGATATTATGCTAAGTGTGAAATAAGCTAGTTACAAAAAGAAAAATACTTATTATTCTACTTACATGAGGGACCTAGAGTGGTCAAATTCATACAGACAAAAAGTAGAATGGTGGTTTTGAGGGGCTGGGGAAGGGAGAATGGGCAGTTATTGCTTGATGAGTACAGAATTTCAGTTTTGCAAGATTGAAGACTTCTGGAGACAAATGGTGGCAATGGTTCCACAACAATACAAATCTAAATACCACTGAAGTATACACTAAAAATGGTTAGGATAGTAAATTTCATGTTAAGCGTATTTCATCAGATTTTTTTTAACGTTTTTAAATAAATCATAAAAAACTATGGTGCACTCACCCAGAATAGCACTACTCAGTAGTAAAACGAATGAACTATATATACACACACCATGGATGATTCTCAAGATAATTATGCTGCATGAAAGAAACCAGACCAAAAAAAGTATAAATACTTTATGATTCCAATTGTGTTAATTCTAGAAAAGGCAAACAAATCTAAAGTAAAAAATGTAAATCAATGGTTTCCTGGGGAAGGCAAGGACAGACTGTAAAGGGGCATGAGGTAGCTCTGCAGGTGATGGATACGTTCATTATCATGATTATGGTATTGGTTCCCTGAGTGTACATAATAAATGTACAAAACTTAACAAATATGTATAATTATTGCATGACAATTACATATCAACAAAGCATTAAAACAAACTATTGCACATAAAATCCAACCTCCTACTCATTTTAGAAAATCCAATTTGGCAACCCGATATTGACTCTGCCATCTCTTTCTTCTTGCCTTGGGAGCAAAGAATGGCTAGCTATGTCATAGATGCTATAATCCCTATAGTATAGGATCTGCTTTTTTCTCAGTCCCTATTTTCCTGCTAGCACAGCACTGGCCTCGAGATGCACAGCACAGAGATGGTAACCCACAAAACCAAAACCTTTAGATTATTTGCTCTGCCAGTAACATTAGTCATAGGACAGAAGTCTAGAGGTCCTGAGAATTTCTGCAAACCCTGAATCCTGCACAGCCACATTCAAGGGAGCATTCATGGATGCACCTTTAGAACAGATTTATCTCTGCTGGTTTGCTATAATCTCGCCTATTCCCTATTAATCACATCCAGTGTTTCTGTACAAATTATGATCCCAACTGGGCCTGATATGTCTTACAGTTAAGAGATACCTGCCTAAGGCTGAACTTCAGGGCATATGGCTCCTTGGCAGGTGCTAAACAGCATCTGCTTTACAGTGTTGGGGAATATGGGGCACCCCCTGGGAATAAGGGACCCAATTCACACTGTTCCCACATGCACTAGGGTTTGTCACACCTGCCCCCTCCTCGGGGCAGATTCATGCCATTCAGACTACAATATTACACCCATAAATTCCCAGTTTTTCCTAGGAGGCCTTGGTGGCAATGCAAATGAGGCCAAGTCTGGATTGACGGTTGTTCTCTGTCATCCGCCTGTCCCCTCCAAGATAATCTGGAGACCCCTTCAGTCTGGTAGATCTTAACTCTGTTCTTGAACCACCCCACCCAGTGATCAGAACATGGAAGATTAAAGACGGCTTTATCATAAGGCCGTTATCATCGCATGAACCAGGGCGATGCACAGGAGGTAAGTTGTTGTGCAGGGTAACATGAAGGCTGGACAAATCCTTCACAGGCATGAGACCAACAATGTCCCAGAAAACGGGAAACCTTCTCTAGGACAAGCTGTCAGCAAAACCCTGCTAAGGACTTCACAGTCACAGGCTGGTCATGTCCACAGCTAAACCAGCCACACAGGGCGGGAATGACATCTTCCCATGGCTTCAGACTACTCCTTATTCCCTTTAGGGATTGGAAAGAGAGAGGAGAGGTCTGCCTTCCCTGAGCACAGTGGAGTGGTGGACACATTCTCTGGAGAGCTGCAGTGTGTGGTGCTGACATGGCTTCTATCACAACCCCAGCAGTGAAAAAACGCTGATAAAATCCATGGTGGCCGGGCGCGGTGGCTCAAGCCTGTAATCCCAGCACTTTGGGAGGCCGAGACGGGCGGATCACGAGGTCAGGAGATCGAGACCATCCTGGCTAACACGGTGAAACCCCGTCTCTACCAAAAAGTACAAAAAACTAGCCGGGCGAGGTGGCGGGCGCCTGTAGTCCCAGCTACTCCAGAGGCTGAGGCAGGAGAATGGTGTAAACCCGGGAGGAGGAGCTTGCGGTGAGCAGAGATCCGGCCACTGCACTCCAGCCTGGGTGACAGAGCCAGACTCCGTCTCAAAAAAAAAAAAAAAAAAAAAAAAAAAATCCATGGTAAGAGAATGTAACTAGTCCCCAGAAAGCTTCCAACAGAGCTAGCATTCCTAGGGAACCTCCCCAGGGTGGGTGCTTGGATGAACAAAGTTCAACTTGTAGTTGACAGCACCCTCATAAGGTCTGTTCTCAGAGCTTATCTCTGGTGTGTGCTGTTGCATTGAACAGGGAAGGAGCACATTCTCTATGCTCCTTTCTCTGGTATGAATCTTCTGATGCCGAATGAGGGTAGGCCTTTGGTTGAAGGCTTTCCCACATTCGCTGCATTCATAAGGCCTATCTGGTTTGTGAACTTTCAAGTGCTGCCTCAGATTGGACCTCTGCCTGAAGGTTTTCCCACATTCGCTGCACTCATAAGGCCGCTCGCCAGTGTGAAGTCTCCGGTGGTTATGGAGGCTGGAGCTTTGGTTGAAGAATTTCCCACATTCACTGCACTGGTAAGGCCGTTCGCCAGTGTGAAGTCTCCGATGGCTATTGAGGCTGGAGCTCTGGCTAAACAACTTCCCACATTCACTGCACTCATAAGGCCGTTCACCAGTGTGAACTCGCTGATGTTTCATGAGGTCAGAGCTTCGGCTGAAGGCTTTCCCACACTCACCGCACCCATGAGGCCGCTCACCAGTGTGAACTATCTGATGTTGAATGAGGCTGGCGATGTGGCTGAAGAATTTCCCACATTCATTGCACTTGTAAGGTCTTTCTCCAGTGTGAACTCTCCAATGTTTAATTAGGCTGGAGTTGCAGTTGAAGGATTTCCCACATTCACTGCACTCATGGGCACTTCTGCCCGTATGAACCCTCTTATGATGAATGAGGTTGGAACGCTGGCTGAAGAACTTCCCACAGTCACTGCACTCATACGGCTTTTCACCAGTGTGAACCCTTTTATGCTGAATGAGGTTGGAGCTTCGGCTGAAGAATTTCCCACAGTCACCGCACACGTGAGGGCTTTCACCAGTGTGAACTCTGCGATGTTTAACAAGGCTGGAGTGCTGGCTGAAAAATTTCCCACATTCGCAGCACTCATAGGGTTTTCCTCTATTGTGAACTTTCTGGTGTTGAGTAAGGTCAGCGGCGTAAGTGAAGAAGATTCCACATTTGCTGCATTCATAAGGCCTTTCTCTGCTGTGGATTCTCTGGTGCTGAACAAGAGTGGATTTGTCACTGAAGGCATCCCCAGAGTCACAGCACTTGTTATGCCTTAGTGCAATGTGAAAATCCACCACACTTTCGGTGGCCTTGTGCGGCTCCCCATCGCTGGGAGTGACCTCATGCTGCAGAAACCCTGCTGTGGTCACAAAGTCCTCCCCGCCCTCCCTGCAGGTGGAAAGCTGATCTGATGTGTGGTCTCCCCAGGTCTTTACAGGCAAAGCCTGGCCCTCCTCCCTTCTGATAGGGTTGTGTACGTTCTGCTGCACCTGCCTCTGGGGAAGGTTTGCACTGAACTCAGAGCCTTTCACATATGCCTCACACAGAAACGGTTTCTGCCTGGGATGTGTTGTCTGGTGTTCAGCCAAATGCAAAATATCTTTCAAACGTAGGCCACATATGTCACAGGGGCAGGTCTTCTGGGGGCACAGAGTTGCCTCGGGACTCCTGTCCTGTGCCACTCCTTCTACAGAAACATTATGCTCAGAAGGTAAGTCCTTGCCCTCTGTTCCACGGCAAAAATCTGAAAGCAGAGAAATGCTGGTGAAGTTCGTATAAACTTTAATAGAAAGAAAGACCCCCATCACCTATGCTTGGCTGACCCAAGAATGAGTCCATGGGATTGTTGGCAACACAAGAAGGCTCAGGTCAGGGTAAGGAATAATCTGCTCTGCCATACTGTGCCTGGCCAGGTCACAAAATACGGGAGGCCTTATCAGGACCAGAGACACAAGGATGGGGGACAGTATTGGGCAGAGAGGCAAGGTCTCCCACTCACTTCTCTTTAAAGGCCTTTTGGCAGGGCCTAGGCTGCTGGTAACCTGTGAGGACTATGCAGTGCGAGCATCTAGACCCAGTAAAACCTGCAACTGAGTAGCTGGTGTTCAAGCACATCAAGAAAAAGCATGTATCTCACAACATATTAAGCATAGGCCAGTGTTGGAAAGTGCTGCAGAGGAAGCTGAAAGAGAGAAATGGAGGCCAGAAAGGTGGGGCATAGGCAAGAGGCCCAACTCAGAATAGCAATGGTAAGTGGATAATGTGTCAAGCACGGGGAAGGAAAAGCAGAGATGTGGTCTGGCTACTGGCTTTGGTATCAAATGATGATGAATAGGAGAGAAGATGCTGGTATGATGTAAACACAGTGGTGATGTCACATCCTCCCCCAGCTCCCGTCACTGCTTACCAGAACCAGGCCTGCCATAAGCCCCTCTGGCCATGGCTGAAGTCATATCCACACTATCAGGCACCCAGGGCTCTTTCCCCATCTCCAGCTGGGAAACGATGTGGGACCTGAAAGATATAAGTCCTAAGGGAAAGACAGAGTGGGTGAGTGGCCAGCACCTGCCCAGTTGAACTACCCCATGACAGACTACAGGACAGGAAACTCCGTATGACACAGGGACATCGGGTGGTCATGGCAAGAGGTAACCACATCAGTGATTGGAATTCCTGGCACAGTCTGGCTTAGGAAATATTAGCAAGAGGAAAGGCACAGAATTTAAACCACAGAACTGTCAGATCTGGATAATCACCCAGGAGGGAATGGCCAAGTCAGAGGGAGTCACGCAGCTGACTGCAAGACCCCTCATGCCTGGAGCTTCCCTGCAAGACTTCAGGCAGCAGGTGTGGGGGCCGCTCAGGGAGAGGGGGGAACAATGTACATAGCTCAGCCCCAGAAGCCACAACACACATACCAGGAAAGCGGGGATGGAAGCAGTGCCAGTGGTCTGGCTGTGGGAAGGAAAGAGCCGTTTCTTGGGCAAAGGGGACAGGCAGAGACGAGCTCGGGACACCAGGGTAGGGGTGACGGCCTTACCCAGCGAGGCTATAAGTGCAAAGTTTTCCAGCATCACATCGCAGTACAGGAGTCTCTGAGCCTCATCGAGGAGCCCCCACTCCTCCTGGGAGAAGTAAATGGTCACGTCCTCAAAGGTCACGCAGCCCTGCCATGATGGGGACAGTTTGTTCCATGATCAGTCTCTGTCCTTGGGACTCGCTGTCCATCCCCTGCTCGCTCTCCTCCCCAGCTCCACAGCTCCAGGAGGCAGTAGGCCCTAGTTCTGTGGGCGCCTCATGTGACCACTGTGTCAGCCCAGAGCAGCAACAGGCAGGGGACAGAGAGGGTCCCTCCAAGCTCTGGGCCTGAAGTCCATGGCCCAACTCCCTCTTCCCCTAGTGTCACCAGTGTCACACTTCTCAGATACAAATGTGGACTTCTCTCCCTTAAACCCCAGTCCAGAGGCCTGGGGTAAACAGCTCACACTCCCTCCCACGTGCATTTCACTCTGGACTGCACCATCCTCACAGCTCCAGACCTCACCACGGCCTCCCATTGCCACTGCCACCCTCTCCCCATCCTGGTCCCTATCATAGCCATCTCCACGGGCTCCCATGTGTCACTCTGCACACAGCATCCAGAGAGTACCTGGCAAACACGGCCACCATCCCAGCCTGCCCCAGATCTTTGATGGCCTCCACTGCCAAGGGCAACACCCAGATAACAGGGAGAGGGAGTGCTCCACCCTTGCCTTGGAGCCCCCAGCTCCCCTGGCCTGGCTTCAACCTAAGCCACCCACAGCACACACAGATGTCAAATACCCTTGGCCTTCTTTGTTGCACATTCTGACCATGTCATCACTCACACTTACTGAAAAAAGAAAAAAAAAAGCCAACCTCTCTGGCCATCCTACCCCCACCCAAGGCCAGCAACTCTGCCAACTGACCCCTCTTGCCCCAAGTTAATTCCCCAGCCTGAGGACAAACCCCATCAAGGGTCACCACAAAAGCCTGGTGAGAACATAAGTGAGTGTGTAAGCACCAGCCTAGGCCTCACTGCAATATTACCTCCTCTACTGCTAAGCCTCAGCATCCATCTCATTCATGTCTACACTCTTTGGGATGATCTGGCCACCTGCCAGACCCTCTGATACACCCACATAGCGCCCCACCACCACCACCATGACCACTACTGTTCCTCACCTGTCTTTATGATGCCAAATAAGCCACGGTCCCCAAGCAAGAACCCTGCTCTCAGTTTTCCAGCCCCACCTTCCTCTTTTTTTTTTAACATCATTGTCACCATGACCTGAAGTTTCACCTCCTAAATCTGACACACAGCTATGCTCCCATCCACACACCAGATGGCACATTCTGGATATTTCTAACAGTTGAAATAAACAAAGACCAATGAAATGAGAAAAGCCAAGGCTACTTACTCAAAGCTCACTATAGCAAGAGAGACTCAATGCAAGCTGGGAGTGGGAAAGTTTTATAGTGAAAGAAAAGGAAGGCTTCAGGCATGCCCTGGTTGGAGGCTCCTGTTCGTAGGTGGGTGAACTAGAAGTGGGCATCCTACGTGATTGGTTAGGGTGCATATCTGCCTTTCTCTGGCTGGTCTTAAATCAGAAGCAGGAGCAAACATTAGGAAAGCTGTCTGTTATTAATCAAACCCTGGCCATTTGGGACTGCTTATTACAGAAGTTATTGTTTTAACTTCCTGTATTGTCAGTTCAGATAGCAATCTGGCTTCCTGTGGGTTTGACAGACAGCAGGCTGGCTTCCTGCTGTATGGGTTGTTTATTGTAGATAAGGGGGTTGGTTTCCTGGGCAGGTTCTGGGGCAGAGTTCTATTTGTATACATCATCTGGCCATTGTTCTCATGAATATCCAGCCTCTCATAACCTTAACAACTCCCTCAGAACACCCTGTGTGTTTAGCTGCCCACTCTTCAACTCCATTTGGGAGTCTCTGGGAAATCACAGGCTCAACCTGGCCAAAACCTAACTTCTACTGCTTCCGCGGAAAATTCCTCCCACAACCAACTTCTCAGTTCATGAAGCTGGATTCACCAAACCAAAAACCATGGATTCTTCTCTCGTCTTTCTCACCCTCCACATGGGAAAATTTGTTCAGCTTGACTTAAAAGGCATCAAGTTCCCAATCACGTCCTCTACCTCCAGTCCCCACTCTGGTCCGGACAGCAGCAGCAGCACTGCCCTAGGCTATTCCATTAGGCTACTCCTTGGCTTCCCCGCCTCCGGCCCACCCCCATGCAGTTCTCCACTCTGCATCCACAGGGAGCCTGTTAAGACCTGAGTCACAACATCTTCCTCCTCTGCCCTAAACCTTCCATGGCTCCCAACACCCTCAAAACAGAGGCCCAGGTCTTCAGCCCACCTGCTCTCTGGTTCCAGCAGACATAGCAGTGACCTGGGTGGGGTTCCTTGAACACTCCCAACTCAGTCTCCACACCGTGCCCAACCCCACCCCCCAAGCTTTTGCGTATGCTGGTTCCTGTGCCTACAAAGCCCTTTCTCCCTTCATCCTCATTACATTTCAGAAACGGAAGCCACTCTATATAAACCCTGCCCTGATTCAGGATCCTAGCTGGGAGCGACTCCCTTCCAGAGTCCCCTGACTCAAAAGCAAGGAAACGGAAAAGGTGAAAAGTCCTAGAACAAAGCCATCTTTTGCGTCTCAACACCGGGAATAGGAGGGTGGGGGGCCGACAGCGGAGGGCCTAACGCCCAAGCACTCACCTGCGCAGGATCCCGCACGGCCGCCTCCGCCATCGGAGTCTGTGGTCAGAGCAGGGCCCCACGGTGCGGGCAACCACGGGGCGGGAGAAGGGGGTCTCGCAGCATCAGGCTACCACCCACCCGGCCGTGCCCCAGGCGAGGTGTGACCCCGGGTTGAGGGTCGCACTCCTAGCCTCAGTCTCCCCCGTGCAAAATGCGCGCGGCGCCCGCGGCGCAGGGTCTGGGGGCGCTGAGAGCGCGCAGCTCCGCCGGGCACCCCCGTTGCAAGGGGTCACGGCTGGTGCAAAAGCGCGGAGGGGGTCCCCGGCCTCACTATCCCCGGCACGGTCCCGGAAAGCCGGCGAAGCAGCTTCAAGGGCGCAGCCGCACCCGCCCCACCCCCAGCCCGGGGTCCCCAGCTCCTGCGGACTCAGCCTCCCCGCCGGGAAATGACCTGCGAGGCTGCAGCGCAGGAAGTTCCGGCCCCCACCCAGGCGGCCGGGAGAGTCGCGCTCTCCCGGACTGTCATCGGCCTGGCGCCAGCCGCCGGTGCACAGGCAGGGTCTGGGGATCGCGAGTTTCTGCCCAGCCTCTCGTCAGGCTGGGGTCCAGGACCGGAAGGAGAACGGACCTCGCCGGGTCTCCACCGCCGCCGCCTGCAGCCCTCGGGCCTTCACCTTAAAGGGGCCGCTCCCGCGCCTGCGGCCGCCAGCGCTAAACCCCGCCCACCAAAGGCCCAGGCCGTGCTCTTCCTGCGCGTGTGGGCATCCGCGAGCCGCTTCACCCCTAAAGGACCTAAATTCACACTGGAAATGGGGATAATACCCAATGGGCGGGGTCTTTGCGTATTAAATGTCGCTGTCATTCAGGGCTTCTCAAACCAGCAACAGCCGCATCTCCTGGGGACTGGCTGAAAATGCAAGTTCTGTGGCAACAACTTAAATCTAAGGACTCAGAAATTCTCGGGATGGGATTCAGCCTTCTCTACTTTTGGGGGAGGGGGAGGTGGGGGATGGGTCTCGTTCTGTTGTCCAGGCTGGAGTGCAGTGGCCTGATCATAGCTCACTGACGCCTCCATCTCGGGCTCAAGTTATCCTCCTGCCTCAGCCTACCAGGTAGATGGGACTACAGGCGCGCACGATCATACACAGCTAATGTTTAAATTTTTATGGAGACTGGATCTCCCTGTGTGGCCTAGGCTGGTCTCAAACTCCTGAGCTCAAGCAATCCTCTCACCTCGGCCCCCCAAACTATTGGGATTGCAGGCGTGAGCCACGGTGCCAGGCCTCCTCCTCTGTTTTAACAAGCCCTCTGGGGACTCCAATGCTGGCTCCAACTTTAGAGCAGGGATTTTCATTGAAATCCAGTAAATAAAATGGGAAAAATAACACTACATGTTGCATGGTAAAACCACCTTTGCAAAAATTATAACTGAGAAAATTATGACAGTGAGAGATCTGACCTAACAAACTCCATCTTGCTTCTAACCTCCAAGCTGTCCTTGTTCATTCCTGAGCATAGGCCTAACCAACTTTGGGAGAAACTTAGTTTATAGTTTAACTTTGAAACAAAGATAACAGCCCTTTCCCTCTAGGCTGGGCACGGTGCTTCCACCTGTAATCCTAGCACTTTGGGAGGCCGAGGCGGGTGGAGCACGAGGTCAGGAGATCTAGACCATCCTGACTAACACGGTGAAACCCCGTCTCTACTAAAAATACAAAAACTTAGCCAGGCTTGGTGGCGGGTGCCTATAGTCCCAGCTACTCGGGAGGCTGAAGCAAGAGAATGGCATGAACCCGGGAGGCAGAGTTTTCAGTGAGCCGAGATCGCCTTCAGCCCAGGCAGACAGAGCAGACTCCCTCTGTCTCAAAATAAATAAATAAATAAATAAATAAATAAATAAATAAATAAAACAGCCCTTTCCTGAAACAAACCCTCTTCTTGCGTGGGAACCAGACTGCCTTTGTAGGACTAACAAAAGCCACAAGATTAGAGATTATGGTTTAGGAGTCATGCAGCCAGGGGCCAGGGGCCACAAGATTCTAAACCTTCCCAGTTGCTCCTGGGGATAACATCACTGTTGTAAAACCTAAAATTGGTGCTCGAGTTATTTTTTCAGACCCAGCACTTGATGGATCAGCTAGTACCACCCAGATAGATAAACTGGGTCATCTGGTCCTGTGGTCCCCTCCCAGGAATTTACTCCATGCAATTAGACAACTTCGACTCCCTGTGATCTCATCTCTAACCCAACTAATCAACACTCCCCACTACCTGGTCCCCCACCCATCAAATTATCCCTAAAAACCTCTGATCACTGAATTTTCAGGGAGATCGAGTTGAGTAATAACTCTGTTCTCCCATGGCATGGCTGGCCCTGTGTCAATTAAACACTTCGTTTACTGCAATGCCGTGGTCTTTTTGTAGCCGGCAAGAAGAACCCACTGGGTGGTTACAATGCTAGATAACAGGGCCCAGGACACAATTCCTGCTGGGTGCATAAAAGCTATTGTCATTACCAACATCATCATCACAAGACTCTTACAAAGACTGCTGTGGGGTGGCAGGGAAGAGACACCTCTGTGCAGTCTTTTGGATATTTGTCAAAATATACAATGACTCTAACTCAGCAAGTACCGCCTCAGAGGGAATAGTCATGATTTTTACATGAAAGCACACCATAGTAACATTTGCCTACTTGATTTTATTATTTTCTTATAGCTGCATTTTTTCTAAATTGATAAAATCATATATAATTATTGTATGCAACATGATGTTTTGAAATATATATACATTGTGGAATTGATAGGGACAGGAGGCAGGGAAATTCTGGGAGGAAGAGGCCGGGTCCATCAGGCCGAAAAGCCTGATACCACGGCCCAAAGTGAGAACTTCCATCCCTGTTTTCCCACTCAAATGTTGCCTTTTCCAAAACCACCCATGGCTCGCCCTGCTGTCCATACTATGCCCATAAAAACCCCAGGCTCAGCCGGCAGACAGAAGAAAAGCAGCTGGACATTAGAGACTATGGTTGGATGTTGGAGAGAAGTGGCCTGACTTCAGAGGGACAGCTTGACAGCGTAGCTTTGGAGAGGATGGCCAGGAATGGCTGAACTTCAGGGGATTGTTACCTTCCTGCTCCATCCCCTTTTCAGCTCCTCTTCCTGCTGAGAGCCACTTTCACCTGCAATAAAATCCCCTGTGCATTTACCATCTTCAGTTTGTTTGTGTGACCTCATTCCTCCTGGATGCCAACAAAAACTTGGGTGCCATAAGTGTGGGTGCAAAAGGCTGTCACACTGACCCTCCACTGAGCTGTTAACACTTAAGCTATTGATGGATGGCAAAGCTAAAAGGGCACTGTAACATTTCCTCAGGGGCTTCAGGGGTCACAGTCACCCTCCCCTAGATGCTGCCATGGGGCCAGTATGGAATTCACTCTTGCTGGCACCCAAAAGCACTCACCCTGTCTCCTGCACCCACTTACCTGTGCTCCCCCTCCCACGAGGGGTAGAACCACAAGTGAGTGGAGTTCGCCCCTGCCAGCGCCCGTGTACTCTAGTTCCCATCCAATAAGAGGTCAGGGAAATATCCTGCTTCAGAATGACTAAATCAAGCTCATTAACATAGGCATCACTTCACATTGTTTTGTTTTGCTTTGAGACAGGGTCTCATTCTCTCACCCAGGCTGGAGTACAGTGGCACTATCACGGCTCACAGCAGCCTTGACCTCTTGGGCTCAAGCCATTCTCCCACTTCAGCCTCCTGAGTAGTTGAGACTACAGACGTGCACCACCACAACCAGCTAGTTTTTTGTACCTTCTGCAGAGATGGGGTTTCACCATGTTGCCCAGGCTGGTCTCAAACTCCTGGGCTCAAGCACTCCTCCTTGCCTTGGTCTCCGAAAGTGCTGTGATTACTGGTGTGAGCCATGGTACTGGTCTTAGTTATCTTTTTTGTGTTGAGAAGACTTAAAATCTACTCTTTAAGCATTTGTCAAGAATACAACATAACTACAGTCACCAGGTTGTACAATAAATCTCTTGAACTCCTCCTAGCTACCGGAAATTTTGTGTCCTTTGACCAATATTACCCCACTCCCACCACCTGGCAGCCTCAGTTTCTGGTAACCAACATTTCAATCTATTTCTACGAGACAACTTTTTTAGGTTCCATATATGAGTGGGATTATGTAGTATTTGTCCTCTGTGCCTGACTTATTTCACTTAATATAATTAAGTTATATTAAGTGAATATATTCACTCCAGGTTCAACCTTGTTGTAACAATTGACAGGATTTTCTTCTTTTTTATGACCGAATAGTATTCAGTTGTGTATCTCTACCACATTGTAAAAATACATTTATCTGTTGATGGGCACTTCAGTTGCTTGACTATTGTGAACAGTGCTGCAATGAATATGGCAGTGCAGATATCTTTTTGACATACCAATTTCAATTCCTTGGGATGTATACTCAGTAGTGGGATTCCTGGGTCATATGGTAATTTTATTTTTATTTTTATTGATTTATTTCTTTGGGACAGGGTCTTGCTCAAAAACCCAGTCTGGAGTGCAGTGGCATGATCATAGCTCACTGCCATTTTGACCTCCCAGGCTCAAGTGATCCTCCTTCTTCAGCCTCCTGAGTAGGTGGGACCACAGGAATGTGCCACCACACCCAGCTTATTTATTTATTTATTTTTGAGACAGAGTCTAGCTTTGTTACCCAGACTGGAGTAAAGTGGTGCAATCTTGGCTCACTGCAACCTCCATCTCCCAGATTCAAGCAATTCTACTGCCTCAGCCTCCCAAGTAGCTGGGACTACAGGTATGGGCCAACATACTTGGCTATTTTTTGTATTTTTAGTAGAGACAGGGTTTCACCATGTTGACCAGGCTGGTCTCTAACTCCTGACCTCAAGTGATCTGCCTGCCTCAGCCTCCCAAAGTGCTGGCATTACAGGAGTGAGCCACTGAGCCCAGCCACTAATTTATTTTTATCTGGAAAAGAAAAGAGGTTCATTTGGCTCAAAGTTCTACAGGCTGTACAGGAAACATGACGTGAGCATCAGCTTCCGATGAGGCCTCAGGAAGCTTCCACTCATGATGGCAGGCAAAGGGGACCTGGTGTATAGAGATCACATGGCAGGAAGTGAGAAAGAACTGTTATTACTGTGGGGTCAGCACCAATGCATTCATGAGGGATCCTCTCCCATGAGCAAAACACCTCCCACCAGGCCCCACCTCCAACACTGGGGATCAAATTTCAACCTGAGATTTGAAGGGGACAAATATCCAAATTGTATCAGGTGGACGGTGTGGCTGATGCTTTCCCTGCTTCAGAGGGAATTGGACACAGGCTCCGGGAGAGAAGATACAAAGTGCCAAGACCAGCTTGGTCGGGGAGACCCTAACCCAGCGGCACTAGAGGAATTAAAGACA